CTTCGTCCACATGACACGGATAAAGTAGTTTTAACATTTTCATTCTGCCTCGACTTAAAAAGAAACCCAATGCAGTACACTAGACTAAACCAAACAAGGTTTACTTGTGTCAAGATAGAAACAACACGGAGAAAGTAGTTTAATGAACTGAAGTCTTAAGGGGAACAGCCAGAGATTGATGGCAGAAACTTTTGATCAAATTGAGTATTATTCCCTGGAACAATTAAGCCATCTAGGTAAACTTTTGATTGCAGTTCCAGTTGCCAGATCGATTTTTGAATTGCTTTTTATCCTTTTTCTTCGTTCCAAGCTTTGGGTCATTTGTGCCCCTTTTCTTCATTTTAAGCATCCTTCTATACTCGACCTCCTTTTCATCATCCGAAAATTCTAGCTCATCCGACTTCTCTTCATCATTTTCTCCTGAAGCATCGTACCCTTTCTGGTAAAGGCTCTTATCATGGAGTACATGATTTACAAACTCTGGAACAAAAGAGATTAATGTTCCTTGCCGAATATTTGCAGGGACTTCAGTCTCTGAATTGTATCTCACAATATATAAGGGTTCTTCACGGGCCCAAAAACTTCATCCACTATTCCCAGTGCTGATCTGCTTTCCCACTATTCAGAGGATTGTGATTCTCCACCCCTTCCATTACCTGTGCACCTATGATCTGTACATGGGAAAATCATTAATGGTTAAACCATGTGAGCAGCGATTTTCAGTTTATATATAAAAAGACAGAACTTAGCGATAGAAGTATCAACAGTGCATTACGTCTTATAATCAGTTGTACTCTATTTTTATGACCTTACCGATAAAACCATTCCAACAGGCAGGATTTGATGATGTGGTTCCCAAAATTACATTCACAGAAGGAACTGGGGGCAGAACCTGCAAAAAGAAACGTATGCAACTGTCAACTTTGTCCTAGGTTCAGGACATAATGAAATTAGATAAAAAGATTTCATATAAACCACATTTTGGACATCTCATGGGCTTGCATGGAACCAATGACAACAAATAGGATGCACAACCCCAAGACAGTCTTGAACTCACATTTGTCTTGCATTAAAAATCAAACTAGATTGTCAGTTTCTAACGTATCCTTTATCAAACTCCGTATCCCTTAAACTAGGACGCTAGTGCCAAACCCTGAATCCTAAACACTTGAATAGATCATGAAGCTCTAAAGTCCAGTAGAAGTTGAAAATTGGCTAGGCCATGCACTATAAACTTGTGAACATTCACCATTCTCATAACAAAATACTTATAACAGTAAACAACCAATATTTAATTTAAGCACAAAACAATATATAAGGATATATACAGATTAGTCAACAGTTTGGTAAGCTTAAAGCGTTAATTTGATCAACAGAGGTATATTCAGGTACAGATTGAAAATGAAATTCTAAGTTATTTTGGATATCAAATTTGAAAGAGAAAAAAAGTTAAGTTTCGCTTGAGCATCTAACCTTTCTATTATTTTAAAGGCGTATCTAACCTTTTTTATGTACATACAGTATGCAGCAAAAAGGAAAAAGGATATTGCATTTTCTTCAAATGAAGAAAACTGAAAATTGTAGAATATTGAGAAGAAAGGACATTACATTTTCTTCCAATCAAGAAAATAATGTTCCTTTCTTCTCAATATTCTACAGTTTTCAGTTTTCTTCATTTGAAGAAAAGCAATATCATCTCCTTCAAGAAAACCTGAGAAAATGTAATTTCTTCTCAATATTCTACAGTTTTCAGTTTTCTTCATTTGAAGAAAAGCAATATCCTCTCCTTCAAGAAAACCTGCTTATAAAACATCACACTAATACCTAATAATATTCATCTTTTCTTCAACATAAGCTTCTCGTTCTTGATATTCATCTTATTTCGAGTGAATTAATTTGTGGGCACGTTTGAAATCAATTAATATTCTTCAAAAAAAGATGGATTGTTTAGCACAATACATTCTGGGTGCTGCTGCAGGTGTTGGTTTCATCATTGGTTTTGGTTGCTACTGGCATATCAGATCCAAACGTTGTAAGGTATGCTGTTTATATTATTTTATGAAGGTTTATGTTTACTCCCCTCTTCAACTATCGTTAAAACAAATTTTTTTTTCTAAAACTCATTTTCAACCATCTTCTTACAATAAACTATTCTGCACGTCCTGTACACGTTGTCGGATTCTCCAAGAAGAAGACAGTGCAACATTCTATGCTTCTATGCTGCAAGTTATACATATCCGAATCACGAAACAAAGAAGCTCTCGATTTGATCGAACGAGCAGTTAAGCGC